TTTACTTAAATATCATATGCTCCTCATTTTAAGAAGTTTGTCAGACAATAGTTGTCACAAGGCGTGTAAGGAGAAGAAAGAAAACATAACCTTTGAGATAAGATTATATTGTCGTTAATAATTTTAATTGTATTTATATTTATAATAATATGAAAGTGAAAGGCCAATAACAAAAACTGTTCTTTTCACTGTTTACTATTACTATCCGTGTGGTTTTTGTCTGTTGGGAAAAGTTTATGGAAAAAGGGAAAAGAAAAAGTGCTTTGAATTTGGAATTTGGGACCATAACTTATCCAACTTTATTTCATAATTCAACTATATATTGTTAAGGACTAGAAAAAAACTATATATGGTTAAGGAGTACTATTTGACCTGCCTTACCATGATTTTTGGTTATTTATAATGTAAAAACAATTGATTAAATGAGCATAAATAGAGCGACACATATATTAAAGTATGAAAATTTATATAATCGACATCAACTCACTTAAACTTAAAACGTTATTATTACTGTTATGTTAGATGGTGGATACCAAATTATATGTACTACATATTATTTTTTCTAACTAAATAAAGACATTTTTATAAAGACAAAAAATAATAATTTGTTGATAAATTAATCATGTTTTCTCAATTCTCACGTCTAACTTGTGCATTAATAGAGAAGACAAAACAGAGATTAATTTGCACCCTGATGGATAAGAAGAAGTTGTTATCGTTGATGTTATAGAATAAGTAAAGATATAATTTTAATTTAAAAATATTTATATAATTTAGATAAATACCATCGGATGTGGATGGGGTAGATGATAGAAGTGTTGGAATGGGGGGCAGTGCAGTGGCGAAGTCAGAAGTTTCTTTAAAGGTGTCCAAGATTTAATATATATGTATAAAAAATTGTAACGACTTGTTCCCGTCATTATAGAAAAGTCAACGGGGAAAATTTTTCGTAGTAACTAAGAATTTCTCAACCTAGTCCAGATTTGGACGAAATCGAAGTCAGTAAGGTCTAGGGAAATCTGGTAACAATTGGGTGATCTTATTATGAATTTGATCACACGAGTAGATAACTAAGACGTTAAAGAACCCGTACGACTTTACGAAATTGAATTCGGGTGAGTAGAACTCCTGAAACTGATCTTGGCATGAACGGGTAGTTTCTGAGTGTTGTTGATTGAAGGTGTGTTGTGAAATGGGGGTATTGGAATTATTAAATTAGCTCATTATTCCGTGCAAGCCGCTACGACGGGAATTTGTGCCGCCAGGGCGGGGACGTTGTAGCGGGGTGGTACCACTGTGGCGGGATAGTCACGATTTAAGTCAGAAATAAACCCCAAAACTTTTTATTCTGCACTTTTCGACTTTGAGAGCTAAGAGACGACCCCATGTGCTTTCTTGACGGTTTTTCACCATTCTTAAGGCTAAAGGTAAGGTTTTAACTCCCCGAACCCATTTTTTGATCCGTAGAATGTAATCTAGTGGGTGATTATCGATAGGGGAGGGTTTTGATCTGGGAATTATGGTGGAAAAAGCCCTAATTTGGATATTGGGATCATGGGTTTGATCTAGGGTTGATAAAATTGTTGGTAATTCGGGCAATTAGTTATTGTTTGTTGATTCCCGTGTTATATTAATTGTTTGTGGACCAAGAACAAGCGGAACGAATCCGAAAAAGGAAGAATCAAGTTTCTCAGGGGATTCAAGCTTTGTTCGAGTTAAGTGATGGTTGTGATTTTATGTCGTGTGATATATGTTTGTTCTTGCTTCATTATAATGCATATATGTATGCGAAAGTTGCATTGTTGATCTCACTAATCGTGAAGGAGGATAATTAAATAATCACATGTCATGAATCATGACTTGATTGTATGATTGTGAGAATATACTTGTGATTGTGATTGTGGCTTGTTGAAGGGATCAGGTGTTGCGTTCCGACACACTAACTGGGATCGGTTGCCACGTACCGGCATAAACATTAGAACGGGTGTCACGATCCGACACACTAACTTGAAACGGGTACCATGTACCGGTACACTAACAGTTTGGGTGTGAGTTCCATGAGAGGACCATTGACTTGACATAATTGTAGATCTTGAGAATTGTGAAATTGTTCGTTGTTCGTAAATGATGTTGATATTGTATATGTTCGGTGTGTGCATGTTATTATTATGTTGTAATGGCTTATGTATGTTGCACTTAGTGGGATAGCCGCGTGATCCTACCAATACACTGTAGTTGTGTACTGATACTGCAGTTGCTATTTCCTTGTTGAGTACAGGGCATCTTTAAATGGCTATTGACAGACCTCGTTTAGAAGATCAGTGATTGTCATCGAATTCAAGGGTGAGCCAATTGTTTCGGGCTGCCATGAGTTCTCTTTTCGTTTATGTCCCCATTTCGGACTTAAACTAGTATATTAGGATTTCTTATGTTTAATTGGGTTGTAACCATTTTCTTTGACTTGTTGAACTTTAGATGTTTTGGTACATTGACTTTCAAGTTCTAGGTATTTCCGCATTTGTTTTGTTAGACTTTTGTTGGAGTTTATGGAAACTCCTTATTTTTCTTTTCCTAGACATTTAAACCTACTTTCGTATTTTTAAATGCCTTAATTTTTGGTTAAGTTGCTTAGCTTGGGTAGTAGTAGTGGTTCTCCCACCGGAGGGTTAGTATGGGTACTAATCACGACGGTCTGGGTCGTGACAAAAATAATTTTTGACCTACATATTTTGTACGATTTTCTATAGTCATAATATAATTTTTCGACGATATGTGGCTACGACACTTGGGGCTATGGGGATGGAGGCAGGGGTGTGTTGGAAGTTAAAGAAGAGACAATTATAGAATGCTACTTGTGGAGTGTGTTTTCGCTCTTACCATTAAGATAAACAATTTCCTTTTTTTTAAGAAATTTATTTATTTTTCTAAAAATATATTATTATTTTTACTAACTACACATGAATTTTCTAAAGAGTAAATTTTAGGTTTAGCAAACATAAAAATCATATTTGTATGCAATAGCTATAGTTTGTATAATTGCGCTCCATAGCAAACTTTATGTTTGCTATGGCTACTAATATGTATATTTCGGTATACATATACAGAAGAATCAATTGTATAATCTGTGTTTGTATAAAGCGAGAAAGAGAGAAAGACAAAAGAAAACTGGACAGGGAAAGATCTGTATTTGTATAATTATAAGTATATAGGATGAAAATATATGTATTTGTATATCCAATTTTCTCTCGCTTTATACAAACACAAACATAATTTATACATTTGTGTTTATATAAAAGTGAGAGAAGCGAGTGGGAGTGGCGACCGAGATTCCCTGGGGAGAGAGGCGTACGAAAAGATATGTATATATACAGTTTTCTCTCGATTTATACAAACACAAACACATTTTATACATTTGTGTTTGTATAAAGTGAGAGAAGCGAGGGAGAGACTGGCAACGAGAAATGGGGAGTGGCGAGCGAGAAATTCAGGGAGAGAGGCGAATGACAACTGTTTTCTACGGGTTACAATTAAATCAAGCTGTGATTCTACCATTTAATTAGAATTAATAGTTTGCTATTTCATACAATTTTCCCTTTTTTAAAAGATATTTTCAATTTACCTAACACACCTCAAGTGCAAGGTGGTCTTATTTTCTCAGCAACTTTCATATATAGCAAACACAAAATTCATATTTGTATGCTATAGCAAAGTTTGCATAATTGCACTCCATAGCAAACATAAATATGTATATTTCGCTATACATATACAAAAGAAAGCAATTGTATAATCTGTTTTGGTAAACATATACAAAAAGATCAATTGTATAAAGTGAGAGAGGCGAGTGAGCGAGCGAGATCTGGGAGAGTGGCGAGCGAGATCTGAGAGAGGGGAACGAAAATATATACATATATACAATTTTCACGCAATATATATAATTTTCACGCATTTTATACATTTGCGTTTTTGTATAAAGTGAGAGAGGCGAGTGAGAGAGCGCGATCTGGGAGAGTGGCGAACGAGATCTGGGAGAGGGGAGAGAGGGGAACGAAAATATATGTATATATACAATTTTCTCTCACTTTATACAAACACAAACACATTTTATACAATTTGCGTTTTTTGTATAAAGTGAGAGAGGCGAGTGAGAGAGCAAGATCTGGGAGAGGGGAACGAAAATATATGTATATATACAATTTTCTCTCGCTTTATACAAACACAAACGCACTTTATACACTTGCGTTTGTATAAAAAAGAGAGAGGCGAGGGAGAGAACGAGAGTGGTGAGCGAGATTCACCAGGAGAGAGGTGAAATAGCAATAGTTTGCTATGAGGTACAATTAAATCAAACTATATTTATAGCATTTAATTTGAATTAATAGTTTGCTATTATATACAATTTTCCCTTCTAAATTTAGTGGGCCAAAGAGAAAGAAGCCCATTTTAGAATAGGCCCATCTTGTCAATCACAAACTGAACCCAAAATCATAGACTCATATGTTTGTTACCCTAAATCCTATTTAATGCACATTTGTTCATTCCAAATCAAATAAATAAAAATTAGGATTTTGTAAAGAAATGAATATATCACCGGAAAACAATAACCATATAGCCAGTGAAATCAAGTGAGGTCTAGAAGGATAGCATGTATGCAAACCTTACATCTTTGTAGACATTAGGCGTGCAAATCACAAAAAACTTGCAACAAAATGACACTTTTCAATATAAATATTCTTTACACGGTCAACACCTATTACATGTAAGGTTGATAGTCATATTCATGTACTCGTATCAAGATACAGGTACATTAGGAGTGCAAATCGCAAATAACTCGTAACAAAAAGACACTTTTTTAAAGGAATTTTAAAATGATTATCATATTGATATACCTCTAACAAACAGCATTAGGAGTGGACTGGTCACTAAACATGTCACTCATGCTTAATATTTCCCAATTTACTGGAAACAAGAAAAATTAGGGGCAATAAAGTTTGGAGTATATCTATATATAAATATATTCCTCTTGAATCATACAGATGGGAAAAACTTGTTGAGATTGAAGGGCAATGAATAAAACTCTTCACTTCTTGTATCTGTTTTGAATGATTTGAATTTATCCCACCATGGCATGCCCCTGTCCTTCCTTGTTGCAGCGTCTTTTCGATGCAGTGATACATCCAGGAATAATGCAAGTAAACCAGCAACAAATGGCTCCGACGAGAAGGGCACATTGATCATGTCATTGAACTGGTAAGAAGGAATAAAATGCAGGAACTCATGCACAGTACAAGAAGAAAGGGAAAATGTCAAATTTTACTTCTTTATACTTCGTCATCTTTCATTTTCATACCCTTGTTGTTAGAAAATCTTCTCATAGTTGTCCTTGATCTTAACGGAACTCCAATATGGATGGGATAGATTCCACATGTCAAAAACTTGGTTTAAAATTAGGGAACGTTACCAATATATACCATTCGGCCATCTAGTTTACCAATCAGGCTGAAGTATATACAACATATATATGTATATGTTGTGTATAGGTATGTATATTCTATGTATAATATATGTATATTTAGTATATTATATACTTTGTACATATTTTGTAAACTAGATGACAGAATGGTTCAAACCCTCTAATTGTTAGGGCCGAAATAATTAGGTGTCATGTGGAAGCTAACAAGGCGAACCTCGAAAGACCACGAGTAAGAAGACAAACAAGAAATATACCAAAAGACACAAAAATTTAACGTGATTCGGTCAATTAACCTACGTCCACAAAGGAAATGTGCAATCCGCTATAGATTTATGAGTACAAAATTTAGAGAGAAATAACTTCATCCAATTCACTCGGAATACAAAGAAGTTCACACAAGTGATAACGCATCACTTGTGTCCCACATTCACTCCTAACCAAAACTCTCAAAGCCTCTAGGACTACATAGTGAATGTTGATTAAGTTAGAAGGAACGAGCCACTATTTATAGAGTCCTAAACTTTTTCCTACAAGAAAAGGACTAACCAAATATGAAGACTTTATGTTTTCCTTTTAGAAAAAAGAAAACCTATTTATGGTAAGAAACTCTAGGCAAATATCCAACACTAATATACTTTAGTTAGGGGCTATGCTGGAGCTCCATTAGGGACAATGGCAAATGCAAGACGATTTTCAAACAACGAGGGTATGAATGACCTCAAAGTACGATGAAGGATAAAAACTTGTTATATTTCGTATAATAATATCAATGTAGTAATTCGAATGGAAAAGGGGTTACTTACCCATCTAGCTCTAGTATGAACAGGACCATATCCATTTATTGCTGTATATTCATTGAAGTACTGTGGAATGGATAAGCCCATGAAAATTGAGAATCCTAGAATGAACTTTGTTCGAAAGCTGTTTAAGTTGCAGAACTGGAGAAAACTGAGACCAGCTGAACCTGCAAACAGATTAAGGACAAGGTTTATCATGATGTTGTTGTCCTAGGAATATACAAAAGACTTTAACTGACAAAACATACCAACATAGGCAAAGAAGAGACAATACAATGCTGCAACTATTGGCGCAGGGATTGACGCAAAGACAGCTCCAAATTTCCCTGGATGAACACAAGTTTAACTATGAAATAACGTTTTACGCTAAAGAATGAACAGGATATCTGTCCTAAATGACTACATGCAGCAAACAACTTACCAAGAATCGAGAAGAAGATCATGAAACCAGCAGATATTTGAACAACCCTCCTGCTCCCAACACGGGTTAATGCCAGCAGGCCAGCATTTTCCCTATTGAATAGAAATGAAAAGGTAAAGTTGTTTGCAATGAGGACAAGGACTATGCTTGCACACTAGTAGCAAAATTTCATCTTTGGTAGTACTTGACAAGAGTCTTACGGAGATACAGATGAGCCAGTTCCGGTTCCAAATATCCCTGAGAACAATATGCCCACACCCTTAAAAAGACAAGGAAAACTAATTTTAGAGCCACATATAGTTACCTTGAACAACAAAGGAATTGAGAAAAGGAAATAATTGTGTTCATTTTAACTGTTTCTGCTTGAAGTAAATAACATAGGTAAACAATAAATGACATTTAAAGTTTAAGCTATGAAAGACGTGAATATCTACATTGATGAGATATAGAATTGGCCGTGCAGTGTTTCAGTAGATTTACCTGCCAACCTACACCGCGGCTAAGGACAGAAGGAGGTATAGGAGTTGCACTGGCATACCTTGACACGGCAAAGAAAGTACCAGTGGACTGTTGACAGTGAAAACATGAGAAGAACTTGTATCAATTAGGCAGTCTTCAAGTAGCTAATAAGTAAACGTCAACCACATGGAAGAGAAGACAACTCCACCAGAAACAAATGGACCATAACCTGGGAGACAAACTATTGAAATTAACTAACCTCAACCAGCGCAACAAATGAACCTGCCATCATTGCAAATGCTTCTCCGGCATCGAATGTGGGAGCTCCCCATTGAAATGGATATGGAACTCTAATCCTGTCCAAGATATATGAGTGGAAGGTTTAGCTAGCAGTTCACGGTTAATGGTGTACCTCTTTTTACAACTGCTAATATAACCTGTTTGACATTATGTGAGTCATATCCAACAATTAAGTGTCATTGCCAACTCAATGTATGCGTATAGGAAGGGATAATTGCCCTTCAGTCTAGACTTTATCTTGAGAAATTATGGCAGTTCCATATTCAAGAGAATGAAGTACCCTTACCATGGAGATCCACTGATAATTCCAGCACGATCAGTTCTGCAGCTAAGCTGAGTCTTCGTTGGTGCATTTTTGTAAGTTCCAGCTACAGTGAGAATGTGAGCATAGACCCATACAATCATCACAGAGAATATAACAGCAAACCGGTCGAAGACATGCTTATCCCCTTTCATCAAATGGGGTATGTACTGTATACAGACGCAGAAATATTTGTTAACATGTAGTTGAACTTGTAAAAGTCAGATTGAGGGCAACATTTTTTCGAAGTCCATAAAGTGAACTAGAAGAATTCAATAGCATAAAGTGAACTAGAAGAATTCTAAGAAAGTTGTGACCAAATGCACCTGTGAAAAGATTAAGAGAATGATAAGCTGCGGCAATCCGATTTCTGCACATTTTGCTACCTATATGCAAAAACGAGTTACCACGATGTATAAGCTTGTCATTTCAATTTTCAGCCAGAATGTGTACAGATATGACACAAATGGATTACCAGAGGAAAACCAAACTCGTATAATCCAAATCCTGATAGAGCTACCAATGGAATGGCGGAGAGTGGACTGATTAACCTGAAATTTGAAATGGGAAATAGGTATAACTAGTTAACCTTCAGTCTTTGACATGCCATAGATTCGGTAAAACAATAAAATAATCAAGTATTATTTATCAGAATCACTCTTTTAATCCTTTTGTTTATCATATATTTTGCTGATCATCTAACTCACCTTGTCACATTCCGCCATAGGCCACTAAAGCCAATAACAATTTGAAGAGTTGACGCTACAATCATGGCTCCTTGAATCCCTCGCATTATCCTCTCAAATTTCTATGTATGTAACAGAAAAAAACAATTCAAATTATTGCATCAACATCAGTAGGAATGCTGCAATTGACAGATTCTAATTAGCTAACCTCCTGAGGGCTCGAAATATCGTTATAACGAGCAGCCAAGACAATCGAAAGTGTTGTTGGCACAAAAGTATAAGAGCCTCCAATAACAGCAGGTAGTCTTGTGCCAAACAAAGTCTGAGTTAGTGTGTTCAAACCAGCAACAAAGAGCAATGTCTGAATCACCTTTGCTTTCTCTTCCTAACCAGTAAAACAAGGATCCAAATTAGATAGACAGTGTACTCCTACCCTAGTATTGGAACCCAAGTTGTAATCTGATTACAGCCATAAGTCCCTAAAAGAAACTATAACAAGAATCTGAATATAATGGTACTCACTCCATTTCAATTTATTTGTTTGATTTTGACTTCGACACAGAATTTAAGAAAATGAAGAAACTCTTGAATCTTATGGTCTTAAAACTAAAGATACATAGAATGTAACAAAATATCCCTAATCTTGTGATCTTGAACATGTCACATGGAAAGTTGAAATTAAAGAGTTGTCAAAAAGGGAAAGAGACGTTTCTTCTTTAAACGAACTAAAAAGGAAAGTAGGACAAGTAAATTGAAACGGAAGGAGTAATTCTTACTTTTCCACCTCCCATCTGGGGAACCAGAGTTGAAGGGATGAGTACAGTTGTACCAAGCATAACAATGTAGTGCTGGAACCCAAGTAATATGGCCTCAGCTGCAACAAGAAATTCAACATGTTCAATTAATCAAAACACAAAGGCATTAAATCCCCACCAAAAGAGAGAGAGAGTGAGAGAGAGAGAGTGAGAGGTAGGAGAAAGTAAAATGCACAGTAAACTAAAAATCTAAGGTGTCTTTAAAGGTCTTTGATTCAAGAAACAAAAGATTGAACCAACAACTAGCTACTATGCAACTAATGAAATCACATATCTGAAATCATACACACACAGAATGGATGAGAACAACAACAAATTAAAACCATTAAGTCAAAAAGAAAAAATTATAGAAACAATCATCACATGGAAGACCTGATCAGGATCTATCAGAAACAATCTTCTACAAAGGTAAGGCAAAATTGCGTACACACCACCATCCTCAGACACCACTTGTAGAATTACACAAAGTACATTGTTGTTGTTTGTTGTTAATAATCACATGGAAACAAAATATAATACTCCCTCTATCCCAATTTACGTGATATATTTTGTTTTTCGAGAGCCCAAACAATTTAAGTATGACTGAAAATTTAATTATGGAATCTACAAATTTTTTAAAGTGAAATTTACATATTTATAAACTCTTACGGTAAGTCACAATAATTAGCAATTCAAAAATTTAAAAGATATATGATAAACTTGTTTGAATCTCAAGGTGTCAGGGACTAAGTATGCATGAAGCACAAAGTGTGTTTTCAAGAAAGTTGGTAGAAACTTACGCCAAGGAGGAGGACTAGTAATGCAGTAAGAAACATTTGGAAGTTGATCTTTGACAGGGTGTGGTATATTCTCATCTTGTTTTGGTGGTGGTGCAGCTCCACCACCTGCCATACCTCTGCTTCTTCTTCTTCTTCTTCTTTTTCACACAATGCAGTTCAAATTTCCACACAAAACCCAAATCCCACAAAAACACAAGATATCACAATCCCAAAAAAACAACACAAAGCCAAATCAACAACTTATAGTTTCTTTGAATGCAGAAATACATGACAGTACTGTAGTAAAACCCCAAATGTCTATAATGTTGTAAAGATTTCAGCTTTTTTATGTTACACTGAAGAAGCAAGAAAAGAAGGACACCCCAGGTTGATATTGTGCTACAACCCCAAAATGCTAAATACACTCTTCAAGAAAACTTGTACTATAAAAAAAACAAAAGTAAATGTGAATATGACTTATGCTAAGCAAAACAAGAAAAAAAGAAAACGACAAAGAAAATCAAAAAGTGAGAAAGAAACCAAAGTAATCTTCCCAAGAGAATCTTTTTTTTTTCTCTAACTTCAAAATATAATTACTAATTGAACATTTGGGGTTCTTAAATAAAATCCCTTTCTTCTTCTCACACGTTAAAGATAAAGTTAAAAAGCATCTCTTCTTCTCCATTTTTTCTTAATAAAGATCAGAATTTTCCAAATTTTTTTGGCACTTACATTTCAAATTTGAAGTGTAAAAGAATAAAAAGTAGTACATTAGTACTCTCTGCGTCAATTTATGTGATATCTTTTGAATTTTGAGATTCAAACAACTATCTTTAACGATAATTTTTCATATATTTTGAATTATTAATTATTGCGACTTATAATATCTTTTACGTAGTTTACAAATATAAAAAAAAAAAATCAAAAAATCAAAAATTTCAGATTAAACTTAAACTGTTTGATTATTGAAAAACTACTGGAAATGGGAGTAGTACCCTTTTATGAGTTTTTTTTTTTCTAGAAGAAGGAAGGAATGAAAATGACAAAAGAGTAGCCAAAGTTTTATTCTACCTAGGCAGTTATTTTTCTATTTTTCTTATGAAGACAAAAGAGCAGCTGCAGAGAAAATGTGATAATTGAAAATTTGTAGAGAAAAAAGCTAAAATCTGGTAACTTGTCTGTTATCTCTAATTTGTAATTTTGTTGAGGAGTTTTTGCATGACCAATTTGGATTGAGGTGTGCAATATTTGTGTTTGCATTAGTCCTGTTTTTGTTGCATAGGCTACAAATTGACCACTAGTAGTTTCTCATTGTTAAAAAAATAAAAAGGCTTCATGAATTAAATAGTAATTGTCAATTCTAATTTCAAGGAATTTTGTTATTAATATTTTCATCAAATTATTTCTTGCGAAATTCAGGTTCTATATTCATTTCATATGTAATTCTTTTAGTAGAAATTACAGCATTTATAGTACATATATTTCTTTTTTTTAAAATAACATTATTTATAAGTAAATTTTTTAAAATTAAATGGAACCCCTAAAAGTATGGCCCAAGTGATGACTTTAGTGGTCTAAGAGGTAAGACGACCCTGCATAAGTGATAAGTGATATGTTGATTTGACTGCCATTGAATGAAATTTTTAGTGAAAAATTATATGGTAGGATTATTCGTAATTTTGATTGATGTTTAAACTTTGGAACTTTCATTATTATATTGTGGTTGAAATATGTTTTGTGTAATTGATTATAGAAGAAAATTGTTTGTACTTTCTTTCGAATATTTTTAAATGTGTAAGATGTTAATCTAATATAATTGATCAAATGTTTCTTGAAAATGTGAAGTCATAATTCTTTATCATATGAGTAAATGTAAGTCAAAGTCAACCAAATTATAGCTGCCAATATACCATTTCGTAAAATGTCAAAATCGAACTTAAAAATATTGTATCATACCAAATTAATTTAGTATGATAATGATATAGTATCTTTTTTAAATCGAAGTTACCAAACCAAAATTTCAAATGACGTATTATGCCACCCCTAACTAAAATTACTCCCTCTACTTCAATTTATGTGGGAACTAAGTCAATTTAACTGAGGACTAATTCTTTTAGCAAAATTGAATTAGATCAACTTAATATTTTAAAATTAAAATTAAAATATTAAAAAAATACACGAAATATATTACAAATTGCAATGTTCTTAACAAAAATAGTTTGAATCTCAAAATATAAAAAGTATCACATAAATTGAAGCATAGGAAGTAAAACTATTTTTATAATAGTAGAATCAATGAATTAATATTTGCAACATAAAAGTCAGAAAATAAACTTTTTGCGCTAGAAAATAACATGTCATCGCCATATCGTTATTTTTCCCACTATATTCATTCCATAAAAAAAATTATTATTTAAGAAAACCAGATTATCATAATTTATATTTTTATCACACTAATATCTTATTGCTCACTTTATATATCATCCCAAAATTTGACATTTCGTATATATGTCCCGTGCTATGTGAATGAGAGTTTATAATTTCCAATCCAATTGTAATTAATATACATACTAAATAGATAATCACATGACAACTCCGTATGTTTAATAAAATTCTCATTGTATATTTGACTTGTGATATTTAGTTTTGAGTTGAATGTTCAAAGATTTTTAGAGAAGACAAGTAGACATAGTAAATTTTCAAGTACACATTTGTATAGATTTGTCATCTTTAATTTGATAAAAATGTTCATTTGTAACTTGTAAATAAGTGATGTACTACGTGTTAAAATTTTGCCTTTAACTTTATTGGATTCTAAAATGTAGGACTGAACAATTTGGTTCTTTGACCTATCTTTTATTTTATTTTTTAATTCTAAGGTTCTTTGACCTATTTCTTGGTTGCTAAGTTCTTAGTAAGCATAACATGAATAGTTTAATGCACTTTCTCTTCATACCAAAAGTTAAAGAATCAGTAAACTTGGAGAAAAAGGGTTGAAAAAGGAGATATGCAAGTGCTTAATATAATATAAAATAAAGAGCATAAAGTAATGCATAATGTTTTTTTTTTTTCCTCTTTAAATTTTAATGAGGAAATAAATTGTACGAGTTTGATATTTGGACGTACTAAGAGATGACATATGGAAGTTAAAGTTTAATCGGATGCACCTTAGTAGGAATGATATTGGGTGCAATATTACTCGATCAAATACCATGATTAGTATATATGCTCAAGATTTAGAGTGACGATTCAAATCAACTTAGTTTTGAAATCATAACAAGATATCTAATAGACATTCAAGATTTGGAGTGACAATTCAAAATCAGCCTAGTGTGAACATCATAACAAGATTGAAAGTGCATTTGTAATTGACCAGGATAAGATTCTTCAGTAACCATTCCTGAAGAACCTGAGGTTCACTTCAATAGGCTCTCAACCACATACGTAACGGCCCAAACGTGCAGATCATGATTATACTACAAGCTTGAAGCGATAAGTCGTTAGTTAGGATTTAGATCGTAAGATATGTATCTCCTTCTCATTTATAATCCATCTAATTCTGGTTACAAGCACTAAATTTTAAATTGTTAATTTAGTGAAAATTTGAGAACAAAAATCATTTTTAAGATTTCAAATTCAGATAAACGTTCAGTTTAATAAATCAACACTTTTTTTGGATAACACAATTTCAAAATTTTGAAATAAAATCTAGTCCTCCTTTCCTTTCTTTTTCCTCCCTTTTCATTAAAAGCTACTCCAAGTCATATATTTTCCCTGTATACGTTTGAACATAAAAGTTTGAAGTGGAATATATTTATTTATTTACATTTACACTATGTAAATAATTTTATTTTAAAATTACTTAAATATTAAGAAAACAATTATTAAACTGGTTTGTTTCATAAAGTGGGAAAAACTTCTCTAAATCATTTCAAAATCCTCCTCAACATGCTAGTTACCAAAAACATATTTTCTTAAAAAAATTGACTGATCTTATTGATATAAAACAAAGTTCAATGACTTTGTTAGATTTTTAAGATATTAACTATTCGAGGAATATAGATAATTTCACACATAACAAGTACATTAATAAATTCAAATCACACATTTTAATTACTTTTCTCATAATTTGAATCAACTAGTTAAGCATGCAAAGTTTGTTACTTCCTAAAATATATTATGAAACATATATAAAACTAGTAGATTAAATCATAGAATTTAAGTGCATTACTAGAATTCACAAATGTACAAGTTGAATCTCCATACTCAAATCAAGTTCTAACATTTTATAATATATATAAAAAAAACAGAGACTCTATTTATATTGTAAAATGAGCTAAAATATCAATTTATAATAAGATCTTAACTTAGGTGAAAAAAATACAATATAAAAAAGTACTTACACTAAGGGAGTATTAATTGACATATATAAGCTCTTTTGTAAAGTTCAATTTATATTTTATTTTATCAATTAAATATTTTACGTAAGTAGAAACTTTATTTCCTTTTACCGTAGGTTTAATTTGGTAAATGCTACTCCCTCCGTCCCTATTTACTTGTCCATATTTCCTTTTTTAGTTGTCCATTTTGACAAATCAAGAAAGGACAACAAATTTTTTCCTATTATACCCTTATTTACACTTCTTGAAAATTGTAAAAGTGTATGTTGTTTCCCTCCAATTTATTTCACTTTAATTCAAATAAGTGGTTGTAATTTTGAAGTAAAAAGTTGTCATAAGGGTAAAATTGTAACTTCATTGTGCTAATCATTGTTGCCTTAATCTGTGTGCCATTTCTAAAGTGGACAACTAAAAAGGGACGGAGGGAGTACAATTATAATTATTAAAGTTATACTGTCACAGCCATGTCACTAATCTACCAGAAAGTACACGTGTCAATACTTGTATGAATGAAAAAAACTTTATTTTTCACAGGTCTCTCTGAAAAATGCTGAAAATGCTTTTACTGTCATACTTTTTTTACTGGCACAGTGTATAATGACTAGTTAGTTCTCTTTATGTTCCAGTCACACTACACTTTGACTTTGCCATCAAACAGTATTTATCGATACGAGGGATTGCTCAGATGATAAATATTTTTTCGTGTTTATAGATTCAAATTATCAAGAAAGCAAAAAAACTCTCAGTTCATTAGGATGAGCTCAAAAGAAAAATTATTGTAGTCATTTCCGAAAGAATTTACAACTTCTAATTAATTAAGTAGGCGTTTGAACATATATTGAGTGATAGTTAAGGACCCGTTTGACCATAAAAACTTGTCACGATCCAAAAATGAATGTGATGACACTCGTCTTATCCCACCAAGACAAGTAAGCCTAAAACTCAATCATTA